TATATGAACTTCGGCTTGCCGAAGTTTGCTTCCTTTCTTGTTTTTTTTAGTTCTTCGAGATATCGTAATGGTTAAATATTTCAGAATTACGGTTTAAATTTCATCAAAATCGGACGACTATATCATATAGCTCCCATAGGAACAATCGATAAAAAATACAAAAAAAATAAATAGTAAATTCTAATTTAAATGTTTTCAAAGATGTTAAATTATTGCAATAGCTGTAAGGGTATATGAACTTCGGCTTGCCGAAGTTTGCTTTCTTTCTTGTTGAATACAGGTATTGATTACGCAGGACCTTATTATATTAGATGTTCCAAAAATAGAGGTCAGAAAACGTATAAAGGGTATATAGCAGTATTTGTGTGCATGTCAACAAAAGCGATACATTTAGAAGTAGTAAGCGATTTAACTTCTGATGCCTTTTTAGCGGAGCTCAAAAGGCTTATCGCAAGAAGAGGAAAGTGTGCTGCTACTTATTCCGACAATGGAACAAATTTTGTAGGCGCAAGGAAGTTGGTCGAAGAGTTGGCGAAAACAATAAAAGAAAATTCCGCAGTTGCATCTCAACTCGGGAAAGAGGGAATTGAGTGGCATTTTATTCCCCCGGCAGGACCTCACTTTGGAGGTATCTGGGAGGCCGGCGTAAAATCTATGAAATACCATCTAAAACGGGTTATTGTTGACGGTAGTCTGACATACGAAGAGATGTCGACATTGTTATGCCAAATAGAAGGAGTTTTGAACTCACGCCCCCTATATTTATCAGACAATGATAAAGAGGACAATGAAGTTCTAACACCTGGACACTTTCTGATAGGAGGACCACCGCTGGATGCGATTGAGCCCATAAAAATAAATGAAAAAATAGGGAATTTAGATAGGTTGAAATTAATTCAAAAAATGAAAAGAGATTTTTGGATTAAATGGAAAGAGGACTACTTACATACACTACAACAGAGGTATAAATAGAAAAAAAATATGCCCAATATTGAAAAGGGACAAGTAGTTCTAATAAAGGATGAATGATGTCATCCATCGAGACGGCCTCTAGGAAAGATTGAAGAAGTACATAAAGGTAAGGATGAGAAAGTCGAGGTAGTAAAGGTCAAGATGCAGGATGCTGCATTTCTCGACCGAGCAGCAAAATTTGTCCACTTTTAGGAATAAAGGCTGCTGAAAATAATGAAGAAGTCATACCACTCTAGTTATATGTATGTTGATCGTTATAATTTTAATTATATATGCAATACGTAAGTGTAGCATTAACAGGCAATTGCAAGCCATAACTTTTGGAGGCCGTTTACAAGATGCTTAATTATTTAAAGCTTAATTGTTAAATAAATAAAATGTTTGTATATTGTAAAATGTTGTATTTTATAAAAAATAAATAAAAACTGCACTCCTAATCTTGCTGGCCCTTGGCAGAATGTTCACACATGAACACGAATACATATAATACATATATGAGCTGAACGGAGCAGCCACTTGTAAATTTACCTCACAGAATGTTTTGGCTACAAGTGCTATCAGGGTAGTTGTGATCTCCCTTATCGCACCTAAGAATGTTTTCTCAGTTTAAGGATAAACAAGTCACTCCGTGGGTTATTAGAAATAAGATAATGACTTCAAATATACGATTTTATAAGTTCTGTGCATGTCACAATGTCAATGGAGCCAGGGCATAAATTACGATCTGTTACTTAAAATCCAAGGGAACATATTGTTGCACTTGTAATCTGTACGTGCAGGCCACTTGAGCCTCTAAATATTTTCACTTTAAATGTTTCCCATACTACACAAAGGACTTGTGGCGGGGGTCAAAATATAGCTCTCCCGCTCAGGGCAAAACGGATGCGGTCTCTGCGTAGGGCATAGATAAGAATAGCATACGAACCACACCAATGTTACTTGCTAAGAATCTTACTGAAATAAAAACAGTTTGAAATTATAACTCAGCAAATGTAGACGTCTTTCATTAGATCGCTCTAACAAAGATTGTTTACTATTTTCAATAACGTAAGAAGTAGCCATCAGTTCAGAATCGTTCCGTACCGAAATCGGTGCTTCGAAAATTTGTAATACCTTGAGTAGACGGTCTGAGGCATAAGCTCTAAATTGGTTTACTGATTCTGTGCGAACGTTATACATGTCTGCTTTCCCCTCGCGCAATTTTTGCCAATCCGAATGACTGATTAGGTTATACTTTGAGCCCGAATCAATAATCATGGCGACCGTATGATCACTTATTTTACACAGAATCTCTTCCTCGCCGGATTGCTCATTTACTACTCTAAGCAGATTGGTAGGCTTTGAATCGCCATACTCATTTTGAGTTTCATTACTTATTGATTGTATTCTAGTATTGCCCTGACGTCGCCGTTTTCGATCCGGTTCTTCCATACCGAAGATTGATTCCTTCGTACGACATTTCTTATAAAAATGCCCGAGTCTATCGCATTTTCTGCACCTCATGTTCCTGGCGGGGCGGTTTTCCCGATGCCCTCTTCTACCACATCTTCCGCACTCCATACCCGTACCGTGCTGTAAAATTTGGTTAATGCTGCTTGAAATAGTTGGTGCGGCCATAGACTTCGTTTGTTTGTTAACAATGCAACATGTTTTTACGACCTCCTCCAAGGTTTGTACACATTTTTAAGAAATTTCCTCTTTAAGTCAAATGGGGCCCAGACATCAATAATTTTATCGATTAAACAGAAATCTTCGGTTAGCGTAATCTAATTAAAAACTCCCTAAAACCTTCTCTCTCCACCGATCGAAACAGGTGCCTTTCGAACACGGAATTGCGCAGCGGTGAAAAATACTCATTTAGTTTCCTTACCAAAGGAGTAAACACGTCGTTTTTAGCCTTGTCGTCGTATGGTATTAAGGGGCCAGGAATGCTAAACACAACCGCCTTTAGCTGAGGTCCACCCAAGTGACGGTCCACCAAGGCGCTATGGCGTACGGAGTGGGAAATGTGGCTGCGCGCATGTACTACACATTTGTGATCTTTTTATAAACATTTGTGATCTCCTTAGTGTCCACATATATAGTAAATGCGCGAAGCCACATTGCCCAATCCGTACGCCATAGCGCCTTGTCCATCGTCTGACATAGAAAAGGTTTCAGCTCCGTCAAAATTTTCTCCTGAAATTAAAACATAAATCCCAAAATAGTCCTTCAGCAACGGGCTTTTCTGTATTCTTTTTCTTTTGCTCTTATTCCATTAGGAAGAACTTAAGACTTTTACTTCCTTTCCTTGATCTCATTCCATTTGGAATAGACTTTTTATTCCTTTATTTTTTAGCTTAGATTCATATCATTTGGAATAGACTCTCTCTTTTTTTTCATTTAGATCTCATTTCATTTGGAATAAACTCTCTCTTTTTTTTTAATTTCTTTAATCCTTCCATTTAGCAAGAGTTTTTCATCTCTGGCAATGCTGTGTGCCTGTGTCTTTTTCTTCATCTTTTTCTTCTTACATTTCCTTTGCACACTTAAAGTTTGCTGGTTTATTCGCTCCGATTATCTTTTTCTTGCTAGAAGGTTAGCACAAACTTATTATCCGGTTTTATCCCCGTCGCCAGTGTAAAGACCACGATCTCCCACTGAATGAAACACTTTTATCAACTAATAATTATATCCTTTATTGGCCATCCGTTCTGGCCTGTGACTCTGGAACTAATAATAAGGCGTTGCCAACCGATTGGCAAAGTACCAGCCAAACCTACTGTGGAGATAGGGAGAGAACATTACTCTTCTCCTTAGCGCCGCTCTCTGCTGCTACAGATCTCCATAATAACTTTGGTTTTTTTTTGTTTTTTTCGTGGTTCTTTGAGATGTTTTAAGTTTGATTAAAATCGGACGACATATCATATAGCTCCCATGGAAACAAGCAAAATATTGAAAATAATAAATAAAAAAAAATTTTAACTTCTCTAAAATTCAATTTTTTGTCTAATTCTAATTCTGATTCTAATCAAGAATACATTTTTACTTTATCGGGTCGGAAACGCTTCCTTCTACCAATATCATTTCAAAGAATACAATATAACCTTTTACTCTACGATAAACGGGTATAAAAAAATATCTGAATATTAAAAATAACAAGGAAGCTAATACTCTTTCAGAAAAGCGGAAATATGTTCAATCTCACAGTCGCATTAGCCTGCATCAGTTGATCTAGTTTTTGCGGATAAGTTGGGGACTACTAAACAGCAGATTGACTGAATATAACAAGGGGTGATTCTGCAATCCCGGAGGCGCTGGTGATGGCGATTAATATAGTACTCATTGATGCGCCCGAAGAGTAAAAAAGAAAACTTTTTGTCGTTATGTCGTCAGCCCCGACGATGCGCTAGAGGACCACTTTAATTTATTAATTGATGGGTTATTCAATTCCTATTTAGCCTTTGATAACTCGAGAGATTAGTTTTAATTAAGATGTTTTAATCTACTGCATTAGTAGTTATTTATATTTTTGTACTTCATTTTAATGGGCTTTTGCTGTCACTTGGCTGTGCGATAACAAGCCCCCGCTCAGCTTAGCAATAAAAATTTAAAACAATACATGAAAAATATATTTTTATTTTTTTGTTAAATTCCTTTATTTTTTTGAGATGCGTTTTCCAAATTTATGGTACTGTTAGGGCACTTTGTAATCTTTTGAGCTTTTTTTACTTCCCATGACGGCTCGACGAATGTCTTCCTTTTTTTAAAGAATGCTTCATTGGCGAATGGCTAGAGCCACCATTTTGTATAAGTAAGCACAAAATAACAAGAACAAAAAAATTAAGCTTTTGAACGTTAGCTCGGAACTAACCTAATATTAAATTTAGTGAAAGCATAGCTAGAAACAATCACATATGCACAGTAAGTTAAAAGAACTTAAGTTCCTAATCTTACGAAATTATAGCCAATTAATACCAAAATTAAAATCAAAAGCCTTTGCAATGAAATCTTATTATTTGTCTTAACTTATAATTATACATGAACGGTCCCATAGATCAGTTTTTATTTGTTTAAAATAACTATAATGCGTGCTATTTACAGGAATTTTTTGTGCTTTAAAGCTTTCACAGTTTTAAAACAAAAAATATGCTATATAATAATATATAAAAGGAAATCTGCAATTTTGTGCCCAATACACCCAAACTATGATGCACTATGATGAAACTTAAAATATGAAAAACTTTATCTATGAGGTTCCTTTCGGGCTCTGTATTGTTTTCCCATTGGATGGATCCGGATCAGCATAAGGTATCGATTGTTTTTTGTTCCTTTGGTTCTCATCGTTCACGTTGGATTTGAAACTCTGTAACGGCAAATATGAGCTGATCAAATATTTGCTACCCGAGCCAGCGTCAAGCTGAAAAACAATAAAATAATTTACAATTAAAAAATTTGTAATTAAATTCTTGTTTTGTATATTAAATCTTCGAAAATGTATTTAAAAAATTTATAAAACCAAAAGAAGAAAACTGGACCAGTCGATTTTGGAACACTATGTTTAATCAGGAATGCGTAAAAATCAGGGAGTTTGGCTTATAAGTATTACGCATCTTGTGTTGGAATTGTTTTTCAATTTTTTTTAAATCAGGAGACTTTTTAATTAATGACAAACAAATACTAGTCTGTACAGAATACCTGAAATATACTTAAGCACCTGACCCTAAGCCACTCGAAAGAAGCAACCAGTCCAAGAGTCAAATCACATGCGCTCACAAAAATATAAATCATTTATACCCATATTATTTACATCTAGACCCCATATTCCCCATACAACTTTTCATTTGGTATATACCGAAGGCAAACGTAAGTTGATATACCCTTGCAGCTATTATAATACTAAAAATCAAGAAAGGAAGCAAACTTCGGCAAGCCGAAGTTCATATACTCTTGCAGCTGTTATATATTCTTGAAGACATTAAAATTATGATTTACTTGTGTGTATGTTTAAAAGCATTGATAAAATTAAAAGCGTAATTTTGAACTGTCAAATAATTAAATAAACAAAAAGAATTTCTAAAAAAAATTAAAAATGTTAAATTGAAAAAAAAAATTATTTTTAAATATATTTTTTGTTTAAATGGGAGCTTTTTTTTATAGTCGTTCGATTTTGATGAAATTTAAACAGTAATTCTGAAATATTAAACCATTACAATATGTTTAAGAATAAAAAAAAAATTTAAATAAAAACAGCAAAGTTATAATTTTTTTCATTTATTTTTCCGATTGTTCCTATTTTTTTTTAATCTTCGACAGATAGTAATGTTTAACCATTTTTAATTTATTTTAGAATTACGGTTTAAAATTCATCAAAATCGGACGACTATATCATATAGCTCCCATAGGAACAATCTAAAAAATAAATAAGAAAAAATTAGAACTTTTCTGTTTTTATACCCTTGCAGAGGGTATTATAATTTCAGTCAGAAGTTTGCAACGCAGTGAAGGAGACATCTCCGACCCTATAAAGTATATATATTCTTGATCAGCATCACTAGGCGAGTCGATCTAGCCATGTCCGTCTGTCCATCTGTCCATCTGTCCGTCTGTCCGTCCGTTTCTACTCAAACTAGTCTCTCAGTTTTAAAGCTATCTGCATGCAACTTTCCCAAAAGTTGTCTCTCTATTGCAGGTAGTATATAAGTCGGAACGAGCCGAATCGGACGACTATATAGCTCCCATAGGAACAATCGGAAAAATAAATTTAAAAAAAATATAACTTTGCTGTTTCTTAATTTTTTTTTAGTTCTTCGACATATAGTAATGGTTAAATATTTCAGAATTACGGTTTAAATTTCATCAAAATCAGACGACTATATCATATAGTTCCCATAGGAACAATCGGAAAAGAAATGAAAAAAAATTATAACTTAGCTGTTTTTTAATTTTTTTCTTAGTTCTTCGACATATAGTATTGGTTTATAATTTCAAAATTACGGTTTAAATTTCATCAAAAACGGACGACTATATCACATAGCTCCCATATAAATAATAAGAATATATAAAATATCTATCTAATAATAGAGCTGCAAATCATCATAGCTTCAAGGTTTTTTAACATATACGCAAGTAATTCATAATTTTAATGTTTTCAAAAGTATTTAATTCTTGCAATTGCTGCAAGGGTATATGAACTTCGGCTTGCCGAAGTTTGCTTTCTTTCTTGTTTTAGTTTTTTTTAGTTCTTCGACATATAGTAATGGTTAAATATTTTAAAATTACGGTTTATATTTCATCAAAATCGGACGATACATAAAGTAACTATTTAATAATTGAGCTGCAAATCATCATAGCTTCAATGTATTTCTGCATATACGCAAGTAAATCATAATTTTAATGTTTTCAAAAGTATTTAATTTCTTCTATACTTGTAGCTGCAATGGTATATATATTCTTTTTTGTTTTATTATTAAAATATTCTTTATTATATAGAGAGAACATTTTCTTTGCCAAAAATTCTGCCTAAGCTCTGCTGAGAGCCATGTTCGAAGTTAAATTTTAATACCCACCCCACTTTTAAGTTTTTGGAATTCGAGCAGTTCAGCTGCAATTGACAATCAAATTAGTATGTCATTTCAATATAACAAAAAAAATTTTCAAACTTTGATGTATTTTTGACCAAATCTGAAGAAGGTTACGTATGCGTAGAATGTGAGTGTAAAAGGATTCTTCGATACGATACATGTTTCTCGTACGATTATTTTCTCGTACTATTTCTCGTGATAGTCCAATAAGATTATTCTTGTAGTTCAAATCCAACAACATCAAAGATTACATTTTTTATTTTTTTCGCCAGGACCTGACAAGCAAAAAAGCACGGTCGAAAAGTGTTTGCCGGCTATTTGCCTCTCGCTCTCTCTCTCTCTTAGGCGTCAAACGGTTTCCGTCGATCTGTATAGTAGGATTAAGGTAGACAGGCAGTGACAAGAAATCGAAATAGTATATGTACAAATTAGATTATTAGTGAGATGAACGGTAGCTTCTTCTGTCCTCTCGGTGTGGGTAGACGTTAGGTCCACAGTGGACCTTAACTTAAATATTTTAGATTTACGTTTTAAATTTCATCAAAATCGGATGACTAATCATATAGCTCCCATAGGAACAATCGGAAAAAAATATACAAAAAAATTATAATTTTTCTGTTTTTTATTTTTTTATTTTAGTTCTTCGACATATAGTTGTAGTAATAGAACCGGACGACTATAACATAAAGCCACGGAAACAATAAGAATATATATATACAATTTTTTTTTTTTAAATGTAACTTTTCTACTTTGTAATATGCAAAAAATTTTTTTTTGACTTTTTAATAATTTGTCAGTTCAGAATTACGCTTTTAAATTTATTAAAATCGGAAAACTATATCATATAGCTGAACTATCGAATAATTGAGTTGCAAATCATCATAGCTTCAATGTTTTTAAACATATACGCAAGTAAATCATAATTTTAATGTTTTCAAGAATATTTAATTTTTGCAATAGCTGCAAGGGTATATAAACTTCAGCTTGCGGAAGTTTGCTTCCTTTCTTGTTTAATATTCCGATTGTTCCCATGGCAGCTTTATTATATTGTCGTCCGATTTTGATAATATTTAAACCGTAGCTCCAAAACAATAAACCATCACTAAACATCGAACTATAAACAAAATTTAAAAACAGTTAAGTTATAATTTGTTTTCATTTTTTTGCCCGATTGTTCCTGTTGCAGCTAATGCTATAGTCGCCTGGTCCGAATCGTTCTGATTTATGCACTACCTGCAACAGGAAGACAACTTTTTGGAAAAGATTCATGCAGATAGCGGACGGACAGACGGACCGAGGGACAGATGAACATGGCTAGATCGACTCTCCTAGTGATGCTGATAAAGAATATATATACTCATAGGGTCAGAAATGTCTCCTTCACTTCTTTGCAAACTTCTAACTGAAATTATAATACGAGGGTATAAAAATGATGATTAATCATGTGAATTTGTAATTTGAGCAAGTAACATTGCAGCTAGTTCCTCTCCTGCCCTCACCGCCCCGCGATGAACTGCACAGGCCAATCCCCCGCCCTCGTGAGGAACCACACTATCTAAGAACCCACCATACTTCCGAGAATAAAAACGAGGATGGAAGCTAACTTCGGCAAGCTTGCAAAAATTGATCAGCTCTTCCTTCAATTTATTGATCGGCTCTTCCTTTTTTTGTTGAATTTTTATTTGATTTGTAGTTAATTTTTTATTTATCCGTTTGATTTTTGTTTAATATTTGTTTTTGAGAGTAATAGTTTTTTTGAGCAGTGTGTTTTTTGTTACGGTCATTAATTAAAGGATTGTTATAAACAAAGGGGGATTATTGCATTTATTGTTTTCCTCCTTAAGCTATTTTCGCGATGTAAACACGTTTTATTATGTCATCGGTTAGGCTTTTGAGCGGCGCGAAATCCATTTTTGTATTCGAAAACTGTTTTGTTTTAAAACTTATTTCAGGAATTTTTTTAAAATAGCACCGCCCCACGTTGGGCGCCAATTAAATTATCGCTTAGGGAATTTTTTTTTTTAAATATATTTTTTTGTTGTTATTTAATAGTTTACACAATTGTTATTAACACCGAACTTAATTTTCACTGCTCGCGATATTCTGTTTGTCGACCGGTCAATTCGGATTCAAAAACGGACTGCTTGACTTTGGTTCAGTAATCAATAATCAAACCTGGGCTTAAAAGTTTTATCTCAAAAATCTGATTAAGAGACTCATCCAAGAGAGTCGGAAAATAGGGTAATGACATGTGTCAATTAAATTTGAAATTGAAATTTTGCAGAATTGAAATTCTGCCGGAAATCGATGTTTACGTTATCGGACTTGGGGCTCCCTTTTTGGGGCTCTGGTGTTTACAATATCGGCTTGGATGTTTAGAGAATCCGTTTGAAGCGGAGAGTGTGAAACAATTCTGGGTGGGAATCGATTGGAGGCTTTTTTAAAGAATGGAAAAAAGCTCTTGGCTCAAAGTTGTTTATAAATTGGGCAAGGGCCCCTAAGTAATGTGTCATATAACTTGCACATCAAACGCTGATAAGGCACCGGGACCACGTAATCAATAAATACACAAGAAAATTTTTATAAATAAACTATAAAATATTTACAATTGTTAAAAATTTGTGACCGAATATGTGCACATCAAACGCTAATAAGGCACCGGGACCACGTAATCAATAAAAATACAAGACATTTTTTTACACATAAACTGTAAAATATTTACAATTGTTAAAATTCGTGACCGAATGTGTGCACATCAAAAGCTGAAAAGGCACCGGGATAACGTAGCTGAAATACAAATTTTTTTTTGTTTCTCTCTTTTCCCTTTACTTGAGAT